CAAATACCAGATCCTCTCCAACCCGGAGTTTCTTGCGGAGGGCACCGCCATCCAGGACCTCTTTGCCCCCGATCGTGTCCTCATTGGGGGCCGCGAGACTCCCGAGGGATTCAAAGCCATCCAAAAGTTAAAAGACGTGTATGCCCACTGGGTCCCGGAGGACCGCATCCTGACCACCAACCTGTGGTCGGCCGAGCTGTCTAAGCTCGCCGCCAATGCATTCCTCGCCCAAAGGATCTCGTCGGTCAATGCCATGTCTGCCCTGTGTGAAGCCACCGGTGCTGATGTCACCCAGGTGTCGTACGCGGTCGGCAAGGACTCAAGGATTGGGCCCAAGTTTCTGAACGCGAGTGTCGGGTTTGGCGGGTCGTGCTTCCAGAAGGACATCCTCAACCTGGTGTACATATGCGAGTGCAACGGGCTGCCCGAGGTGGCCGAGTACTGGAGGCAGGTGATCAAGATCAACGACTACCAGAAGAGCCGGTTTGTGAATCGGATCGTGTCGTCCATGTTCAACACCGTGGCCAACAAGAAGGTGGCCATCCTCGGATTTGCCTTCAAGAAGGACACAGGCGACACGCGGGAAACCCCTGCAATTGACGTCTGCCAGGGGCTGCTGGGGGACAAGGCTCAGCTCAGCATATACGACCCTCAGGTGACAGAGGACCAGATCCAGAGGGACCTGTCGATGAAAAATTTTGATTTGGACCATCTCCAGGCGATGAACAAGGTTCGGGATGCGTACGAGGCAACCAAAGACGCTCATGCTGTGTGTATATTGACCGAGTGGAACGAGTTCAAGGAACTCGATTTCCAGAGGATATATGACAACATGCAGAAGCCTGCGTTTGTGTTTGACGGGAGAAACATGGTGGATGCAAGCAAGCTGAGGGAGATTGGTTTTATTGTTTACTCAATTGGGAAACCACTTGATGCCTGGCTCAAGGACATGCCTGCCGTTGCCTAATCTATGGACCACTTTCTTACTGAGTTTATACATATATTGAGGTCTTTGGTTAATGAATCTTGTGGCCCTTGCTAGTGAGGATAGTGTGAGCATTTGCTTACTGTCACGGGAGTCGGGATAAATTTAGAAGCATTATGTGTGCCGTTCGCGGTATTCAACGGTAGACATTTTTGTCTATTGCCCATCTTCTTATTAATGGGATCAGTTAGACCTCTTACTATTGTGCTGCTGTTATAGTTTCAGAACTATTTCCACTTGCTGGAGTTACTGTTTTACGACACCATAAATTCTTGCGCCACAAAATTTTCGCAATAATTCTTGCGCCACTAGTTTTCGGGAGTTCCAACTGTATGGAAACTCGCCTAGCTCCACCGAAAAGAACCCCTTCTACCAGTTGCTCACCTAGTCTTGCTTCGTGACATAAGAGTAGACTCCACAGGCTCATTGAAAGCATTTACTATCGCATAGGAAGAATACTAAGCAAAGAGGTCAAGTAAGGTTTCTTTGGTGGGCAAGAAGATTTTTCTCAACTTGCCCTCGCGTTTGTGATTCCTAATCGGGCATCTCCCGGTGGTTCATATGTAGCATGATTGCTGGTCATGAACTTTATAAGGCCCGAAATGTACTAAATGTTCTATTTAGTTCATTTTTTTCATATAATTTCATAAAAACAAATCTTTTTCTTTCTTAAAAACAAAAACATAAACCGGTAAAACTTTAAACTTTTCATTCACTTAAATATATATCTTAAATTCATTGGAGGACATGATATTCTATAACAATTTAATAAATTTTATCTATAACGGTTTAATAGATTTTTATGAGGAAATAATAAATTACTAGTTTGATATTTAAGAAAATTGAATAACAACGATAAATTGAAACTCATCTAGAAATTGAGTTGAATTCGATTAACATATTTAATGACTATTAGTAATTGAATTGTGCTTCATCTGGAAATTGAGTTGATTTCGATTAACATATTTAATGACTATTAGTAATTGAATTGTGACGAAAACAACATTTTGTATATACAAGAAGAGGAAATTTTTA